CATCGCAGACACAGGCTACCTGATCGGTAGAAAACGTCAAAGTTGCAGGCTCCGCTTTCGCTGGCGTGACGTTGTCAAACGCATCCATATCTTCCCGTTAAAGACCATTAAATTTCTCTGAGCTCAAAGGGTTGAGTATAACGCATTGTCCTTTCACTTTTTCAAGTGAGTGTGGCTGAATAGCTAAATGTGCGATTATGCCACAGCAGTTTGTTACAAATCAAAACCGCGTCCCTTGATTGGCTCGCACGTTCGCTAATCGATGACATCGGAAATTCTTTGGTCACAAGTCCGTTTGTCGCAATTAGAGGGCGGGACTTACCAAGTTAGGTGTCAACTTAGTATGCTTTGTTCTTGATAGGTATCAATCTATTTCGATCTGGATCTCGACCTTTCGACAAATCAGAGTAAAGAATTATAATTAGCAAAGGGATTTCTATTTTTTCACACCTATCATAACAAATCCCAACTTAGCTAACGCTGCTCAACTGAGAAAATTCACACGGACTATAAAAACTTATTCATATCTACCGTTTAGCCACTTATAAAAAAAGGTATAATACACGAAAAGGTTAAACCACGTGCTACACTTCCTTAAACAGTCCTCTACTTGACAAGCACACCATTGTGCGAGAAAACGCGTGAATTTCCTGTTCGCGCATGGATAAAATATGTTAATTACCCATGTAAATGTTTGGTTCTTAAGAAAACTTAAAATCGAGTGCCGCGTCGGCTTAAATAATGCATCAGGAGTGTATTTCTTTCTTTTCATGAAGAACACTGAAGAACGCGTGCTATTTTATGACAGCTGTGTTGGTAAGCTTTCATTCGGTGTCTAGGTGTCAAGTCTGCCGCATTGTATCTATTCACAAATCCCTTTTATGGAAACTGTCTCATGTAAACACACAACCAGAAACCATTTCTCTACAGCTAAACACGGAAACTATGAACATTTTTCTTGCTCGTTGGCATATGACTTCACATTTGTAAACAGCTTTCGAGAATCACTATTTTGGTCTTCTTCGTTCGCGTGGATCGGAGTCATTTGATCCTGCTGACACGTCGCGCGCGAGAAGTTTGTAAATCACGTGCCGTGGTTGATACGTTTCCCCCAAGAATCCCAGAAGAATTGAAATCATCTTGGAAACCCGAAAGGAAACGAGCTTTCATTTTTCATTTTTCTTAACTAATCAGTGTAATAAACAATATATTTTTGACTGGTTAATGCGCGCCTAGTGTCCAAGTTATTCGGTAATGGTGGTAGTGGGCTTTGCCACGCAAGGTCATATAAAGAACTACGTAGTTCGCTAAAAAAAAAAGAAAAAAAAGGCGAAGAAAACCAACCCTTTCTGTGGCAAATTGCGTAATATTCCACGTATAGTAGGCTAAAACTAATCTTATCGTTTCCCCCACGCTCATATTCGTCTTTCTTGGAAAGCATTTCGTATCGTTTAGCTGCAAGGCTGACTGACAACACATTGCGTTACAAATTCTTTCTCGAGTGCGTGACCAATTCAAACAGAGCGCATCTTGCACTATGTACGTCTTCTCAAGCATCTAAAATAATTACCAAATTGTCTTTCTGACCGACCTGGCTCACGTATTGGGCATTCATCGAAGTTAGGCGCAACTACGACTCAAAGCTCGCGAGTCGAGCATGGTTACGCGTGAATCGCGCGTGAATCGCGCGTGAATCATTTGATATAAACAAGAAGTTCGTTCTGGAATCTGAAAGCCTGTTGAAAACTGCGTAATGTTTTCGAAATGCCCAAAATTTCTCATTCATAAATGAAAGATCACATAATAGGCCGCAGATTCAAAATTTACGTTAACACAAGAAAGGAAACTACCAAACATTTCCAAGCTGTTGGTTTGATTAGAGACGGAATCGGATCTTTCCGTGCAGATCTCGTCTGCCACGGTCGAAATGGTGCCTATTCTGATTGCGTGACCGCTAACCCCAATTGATCTGTTACCGCAGGCACACATGTCAAAGACCGCGACTAGGTAATTTTTTTAAGTCTGTACAGCGAATTTTTTTATTTTGCGCAAGAGAAACAAGAGGAACACAAACGCACACCCTTACTGTGAAGTTGACAGAGCATCATCAAAAAGTGTGTCCTATTAACGCGAAAGACGACTGCCGACAAGAAATGAGTCTTGTTGAGCGCCATATAGTTTCAGCCGTTTGCACAGGAATGGAAATATGTTTTCAAAGAGGTGAATTGGCTTCGTTGATAGTATTAATACTACAAAATGAAGTTTATCGCGACTTCCTATCTTATCTACGTTAGATTAAAAATAAGACGAAATGTACAAAGTGTAAAGAAACTACTAATTGCTTGTGCCAGATATCATGGTGAAAGAAGTGGGAGAAATTCTCAAGCAAACTTTGTCAGAGACTCGAAAAACAAAGAGAGTCGTCTTGAATCATTGCACTTGGCGTTGTTCTCTTTTTTCCATCTTTTGAAAATCTTCGAATATCTCGGAATTGTTATCTCGCGAACAGTTCGCCTAGGCGCTTTCATTTCAAACGACTCTTGCTTCAGGCTATATCAGGGTGATGGCCCTTATGGTCACTTCCAAGTTACAGTTCTAATTCTAGCTGTGTCCTCACATCAAATATATCAGTTCAGGTATCTCAAATGAACACCTAAGGCTCCAGCTTACTAAGCGTGAGAAGTACCATTCGTCAGACGTAAACTAAAGGCCGGCGTTCAACAGAGAGTCAAACGAGCGGGATCGTTATGGTCGGGGTAAGAACCAGATCCATTTGCAAACAATCGATCACACTTCATACTCACACAACTCCACTGGGCTCCTATTGATTAATATTGTGCCAGCATAATTGTTGGCGTAATTTGTCGAAACCAGCACAATGTTTGCACTTTTTACGAAAGTAGCACTGCTGGCATAATCAGCACACACAGTATATTTCAGTTTAGAATTTTTGAAGGGAATAATACCAGAGTCATGACTTGTTTTGATCTCTGATATTACTTATTTTCAAGTTCAGTTCATGGTTCAGAGTGCTTTCATGTTTGCAATGTCTTAGGGGAAGAAGATTATCACAATACTCACGTTGTTCCTCGTTTAGGGGACTGAGCACACCGGAAGTGATGATTACGTTCATTCCAGATTCCACTTTAACAAGCAACAAAATGGGAGTAGTTAGTTATGTTTTATCGGAGCGCAAGTGCGCATAGTAAATCAAGATGAAGAAGATATATGATATATAATTATAATCTGAACTTGCTTTGTGGTTTTTTTTTTCAAAGAGCATACTTTAACAAGGCCTAACATAATTTTTAAAGAAAGAGCATAACTTGGAAAAAAAGTTAGGCGATACTAGTAGCATAACATGCTGCCTTTAAAAGCACAATCTAAGCGCAACCGGCCGCGCACGCAGGCTATTCGAGGAAAACGTTATCTGATTCAAATAGACACGCGTTGCAAGTCAAAACCGGTAAAGATGTCCGTGACACGCATTCGCAGTTCACTTGTAAAGCATGCTATGCAAAGCTCTTTCCTCAAAGGTAAGAAGCGCAAGGAAAGCACAAGTTCATATGTTATGAAAACATAATTTTTCAAGGCTTTGAAAGCCCATATCAAGCACACTAAGTACACCCTTAGTAGCTGATAAGATCCTAATAATACCTCTAGCCCCCGGATTTTCCTTTCACCCTTGAAAGTCTGTATCAGTTTTTTTTTTTTTTTTTTTCATAATTTTGACTTAGTGAAATTAAGCATAGTCTCTGGAAATCGTTTTTCTGATCACCCTTCTGCTTGACCATGTGTTGATGCCGTAAGGAAAGATTACACAGTAATCATTCTTGAGAAGGAGAGTGAAAGTTTTTGTAAATGTTCACTATGCAGTGCTCCTTTTTGGTCTTACCACCGTTTTAGTTCATAAATACTGTGGCGCATCTCAGAGCAATATCTATTATTTCCAGGCTGAGGTTAAAAGTTATCGCTGAGAAAACCTGGTCAGGATTTCTTTTTTTCCAGAGAACGCAAACGCAACGATGCAAGAGTCAAACACTGACTCTTACCATGCTTACAGCTGCTGCACTTTTGCATTCCCCCCTCCCCCCTCTTTTTGAAAAAGGAACACTTTATTGCGCCGCCCAGCAGGGGCAAAGAGTTTTCAATCGAAAGAGAACGTTCAGTCATTTTTAACAAGGTATTAGGTTCGGCTCATCAGGCTAAACCCTTAGCAGTCTAAAGCTGCAACTTAAGACAAAGAATCAGATGGTATTATAAATACTATTCGCTCTTAGTAATCGGTTTATTTAAATGTCTTGAGCGGTCTTCCTGAAATTTATGAACACTCTTTTTTATAAGAACATCTTGTCTGCAGCTGAGGGTAAATATTCTTATTTTTTTCTGCGATTTGCGCCTGAAAAACGCTCTTAACATGTTCCGGCTTAAGGTTGTGAAGCAAAGTATTTCAATGAATGAATTCGGACGTGACCAGACTAAGTTCGGTTAAAAACTAAGTTTTTCTCCAGTGTATTGTGCGATAAGAAAACCGCATTGTTAATGTTAAAAAAGGTCTTTCAGTTTTGAGTCAATTGTCCTGTTAGATCACAGTTTTGCATTTCTTTTATCTTTATTCAAACTTCTCACAAAAACAAGGGCAAAATAACGACGTTCTTGACTGAATCTCAGCATGTGCATGTTCTTAGGATGCTCTTAAAATTTTGGTTAATCTTAGCCTGAGTGTTCTTATAAAAAAGGTTCTTATATAAAAAAAAAGAGTGTATCAGTCTAGAAAATATATTTCTTCTAGCCAGAAACTCGATTTATTGGAATTTAGAAATGTTAAATTATCCTCCGGTACTTAAAGGATTTCCGTTTGACATCATCAAGCCCATTATATCAATGTTTCCGTCCGCCGGGAACAGTGCACGTGAGCTGCCGCGCCATCTCACCAAACCACGGGTCTCAGACACGCGTAATTGATACGCAGCACTCTGTTGGGGGATGTCTAGTTTATTTTATAATTGTACAACGAATACGATTCCTACAGCAAATAAAAACTGAGTTCCATAACTAGCCGTAGCATATTTATCACAATGCGGTGTCCATAAACATTGCGTCGCCGCATCTATTCCCTCACCAACAACAGCTCCAATATAAACCTGTGATACTATTTTACATCGTCCTTCGATGCACTCCTCAACACGAACTTTTATCAATTCACTTAGCAAGGGGCCAAGCCGGCCAAAAAGAGTATGATCATATTGCGAAAATTGCGACAAATACGACGTAAGCACGTCCAAGATAATCTTCCTCAGTTGCTCATCTTGAATACGGACTCGGAGGTCCGAAACAGTTTTAGCGCGGGCTCGTCGACCCGAACTCTTCTCCGACGATTTCACAGCGTCGCTTTCGGGAATCGTCGCCAATGGATTCCATCCATTTAATTTACTCAGTTCCGACAACGGAACATTCGGCCACGTTTGGGTTCTCTTTCGCCTCCAAAATCGATCCACCGGCGGCGAAATACGTTCAAGTTTCTTTAGATTCATTTCTTTGGCCCGTCCTTCAACCTTTCACATACATCGTAAGTTATTTCAAGTGGTCAGTGTTTGCAGTGTTTTCTCTTGAATCTGTTTAGAAAGGCGTCATCGTTTTCCCAGATGGTTCAATTTGATTCGCGACTCTTTTCCTGCATGAAGTATTTTCTTTAGACAACACTCCACTTCAGCTGTATGAAGCACAGATATAAAGTTGCTATAAGTACAATTTCTTGAAAAGTCAATGCCAAGGTCGGAAGAACTAATAAGCTTTCCTTCACAACGAGAGAAGTGCACGAATTGGCAAGAACTGTGCGTGTCAAGGGTCAAACTTGTTACTGCTTGAATTTAACTTCGTCTAACTTTAAGTCAGCAACTTTCCCAGCATTTCTTTACCAGGATTCCAAAGAGAAAAAGTGTTGACAATGATTTTCACGTTCACCACAGTGACAGGATTTTACTTCAATTCCTGGTGATTGGAACAGACAAGATTCGATTGGGTAATTCAGACTTCAAAGGGAAGGATTATGACCCCTTTGTCAGACTAAGAAATCTGATCTCCCGCCCGATTGCATGCATGCTATTTTTGCGAAATGACCTGAATATTACGCGCGACTATTTCTTCCTTTCTGCTTAGAGACATTTTCCGTGAGCGTCACAAATTTTGTCTACAGCTCAGTGTCAATGAAACAATGCCTCAGCTGGAGGCTAGGCGAATTAATTTGTCTCTCCTCAGACATGCGACAAAATATCAAACACAGAACCTAAAAGGCCCTGACAGAAGACCGAAAATTCAATTTGTTTTTACATTTGACACGATGATCTAACCTCCCTAAGTATAATTTACTCCATGCAATGCACAAAGATGACAGGGCATTTTTAAACCAAATTAAATACTAACCTTGAATATAATTTCATCAACTTTAATTTCTTCTTCTCCATCTTTTGAACCTTTGGACATATTTTTCACCTGTGGGCAAAGCATCTGGTTTATTTTTTGGTAGCATGACTCGAAGCCCCCTTAAAAAAGCATTTATTCCATAATTGCTTCACCCAAAGTCTGTTTACGAGCGATAATGAATGGGAATAACTCAATTATTGTGTTGTTGTCCGCCAGTCTTGAGATCCACAACAAGCTTATCTCTGTAGATTTTTTTTCGTGAACGTGTCGCTGAATGAACTATGGAAGTTGCGTCTCTTCGATTTACTGTCTGGTTTTTGATCCCACTCGAAGCGGCGGTGATGTAAACAGAACAGTACCTTTCGAGTTGGCCGGAAAAGCGCGCGACTGAGGTTTTCACTATCGCAGTCACCGGTGTTCACGTGATTTTCGCTCTCGGTAGCGACGTCGTGAGGACGTTGGAAATTCCTTCGACTGATGAATGAATTCAACATGTGCTATGTTCAAACTGTGGTTTAAAGCCAAAAGTTGGCTTCACGGAATTCCCATGAGTTCAAATTTAAATGATCAATAATTGATTGCCATTTCAAAGACAGGTGTTGTTTTCAATTGGTGGAGTTAGGGTTTATCGAGAAACGTCAAGAGGAGGTGAAGTGTTTTTGAGCAGTTGTTTGGAAGATTTCCTACGGCCAAGAGTGACAAGAAATAGCTGCATTTCTTGTTATGAAATTGGGAATTAAATTTTTATCTATCTTTGTCCGCTCGAGATGCCACGACAAAGGAAACCATGGGCAACATAAAAGAAATTTGTTCAACAGTGTAAACAAATTAACCTTAGATAAATATCAATATACGTTTACGATAAAAATAATTGTGAGCGAATGTCATCGCTTTCAAGTAGTAGGTAACATTCAATTGTAGAAACTAGTTTCGCTGGTATAATGAGGCGATTTTTTTTCGCCTTTTCAAATCGAGGGAAACCAAATATTCGTTATATGGAATGAAACCATGATCCATTTTGTGTAATATTTCAAATGACACATATTTAGCGTCTTCACAGATCGTTTCCTCATCTGAGCGAGTAAAACGCGAAAACAAGTCACTTCGCTTACCGAAAGAAAAAAAATAAAGATCACTCAAACCGAAAAAAAATTTCACTTCTTCAATGAACCATTAATCTCTAACATCAGTATGTATATTCTCCATATTTTTCTCTATATACTTCCCACGATGCTTTTAAGCAGAATTTGTTTAACAACCAGGAAAAAAACTTAGTGAAAACTGACTCAGATTGCAGGTTACAAATTTGAAAATTCAAATTCAGGGACCGCAACAGCGTAGGGCTAACCCTTGCCTCTCAAAATAGTCCCGACGAATATATTTCCTTCCACTGAACCACAAAGATGGCCAAAATTGTAAGGCTTTCTAACAATATTCCCCCGATTTTGAAGAGAAAACTGGGAATTTACACAAACCCTTTTGAAAAAGCTGGTTTGCATCTAACGATCGAAAAATTAATTGTCATGCAAAAACACTGCGTTAGAATATTCTGTCCTCAGTTTTTTTTTTCAAGAAATATGTTTCATTTTGAGCTTTGTCGTTAAATAACAAAGATCATAATTATCTCTACAGAACCTCAGACAAAGAAAAATGTACTCTTCGAATCTCAAGCCGTCTTCCATTTCACGGGCTGCTGCTGCTTAACATCTGATATGCAGAGAACTCTTTAGTGATCTGCGTGCGCAGTTTGATACGTTCATCATGGTTTGACGAACACCTCACACATTTCTACAATCAGCGATATCGAAAGCATCGTGTGGGTAAGTGACAAAATTATGAAAGACGGTATTTCAAGATAAGTCATCTCTGGAATAAAGAAAGAAGTTGATCGTTTATCAGAAACACGTTTGGCTTACCATTTGAATACTTATCCTTATATAGGCAGACATGTTTGAATCATGCTTTTCTGTAGGGTTAGCTTAACGTTTGCTGTTGTAGTGATGTTTTCAATCTCTTGCAAACGGCAGGGGCTCACGTAGACCACGTAAACAAAGTCGTCTGCTAATTCATAAAAGGGTTACAAACAACTTTGGAAGGAGTTGGCCATAGAACACTATATCAAGCAAGAAGGACCGAGACTCATCTTCCGGATATTCTTCTTTATTAGGCTAACTGCTCAATTAACTAAATCAAGTATAATACACTTCCTTAAGTGCTTTATTAGTGCACATGTTAAGGTTATAGGCCTGTCGATCTTGGAAGATTGAAGCTCTCTACAAAACTCCTGACCCAAACATTGTTCACAAGTGAACAACAAAGCACTTGATATTCTACGCTATGAAAAGCCGATTATTGAATTAGCGAAAACAAAAAACACAAACAGGAACTATGTTGCTCGTCCAAACCACAGCCAACGTGTAGCCGTACCCTACACGTAGGCTATCCAAACCAAGGTCAACGGGACAATGACCCAAACAAGAACACAACCAGCAGAACCCTTCCTGTTGTTCATTACAAACAGACTAAATATTTTTTATCAATCTTTTAAAGGTATAGTAGGTCAAAGGTAAACACACTAATCAGGAAATGAAACGTGGGGCTAAATCTACCTCCTGGACAGCTAAATTCACAACAAAAGTAACGAGCCATAAACTAACCGAATTCAGCAAGAGCTAGTCAATGTCACTTTGTAAAATTTCAAAGTTAGAAATCAGCGTTTCAAACTGGTCCTCTTTCTGTACTTTTAGTCTTGGATTATAAAGCGCTGGAATTAATCGCTATTGCCACATAAATGAATGTTTTAAATTGATTCAAATTGATTCCTCTTAAAATACGTCTACGTTTAATTCCCTATTTAACCACTAAGCTCAATAAATGTGTCACAAAGAGATGCGTGAATGGATAAGAAGTCGCTCCCAACTGCAGCTCAGACCCAAAATCGATTAGTTTGTGCTGGTGTTTTCGTTTCTTCTCAAACCATGGGGGATCTTGTAAAAAGCCATCCGCTATTAATTCTCTACCAAATTGTAAGAGTCTATCTTTTGGTCAAGGATCGAGGTAAAGAGTCATTGATTTTCAAAATTAAGAAATCATCAAGATCGAGCCAGTTTGCTTTCTGTATTCTGGAAAATGTGTCATGTTGCGCTATTGCCGCTTAATCGATAATCCTTGAGGTAATTTACCTGAATCAACCATTGCAAGATATTCAGTTCGTCCGCTCGAATCCTCCCATTAACGCACCCTAACTTGTGGAGTAGAGGAGAAAAAAACTCAGGCTTCAAGAGTAACGCTCAGAGGTTACGTTTTCTCAGCTTGTTTTTTCAATCGTCTTGACGAAAAGATAACATCACGTCATCAAAATGAACACCACAACCGCAAGTCGCCAAACATCACAAATCAAATTTCATTACAGAACCACAAACCAATCGGTTGTTTTTCTCAAAATAGTCGCACCGCAGGAACGCGCACTAAAATAATATTCAAACAATTATCATTGGAATAGGGGTGTGTATGGGGGATAAGTTCTCTCAGTTGATATTCTCTGTTCACATGACTAGAATAGAACATACCTTACTGTTATGAAGTATTTGTTGTTTAATAAGTCATTTAGTTAGTCAGTTCAGTATGATTTAGTCTTTCGTTTATCTTTAGAATGTATTTAATGTATGAATTCGAATTCCGAAGATATCGAGGTTTGAACTGTTGTGATAAGTTGTCGAGTTCTGGCAGCCTGCTCTAACTTCCATAAGTGGACGAGCTTAGTTTGTGTACTAACCTTGCTTTGGACTCTCTTGCTTTTTGGCTTACGCAGTCAGAGGTTGATTCAGTTGATCGGAAGCATTACTTACAGAAGTACTTTGTTGTTCCTTTTGAAAGTCTCGTAATATTGTTTGGTTTATTGTTCTAACAACAAATGTTTAATCTCTCAAGGACAGCCAGCGGGCATGCCTAACCACATCTGTTAGTAGTTAGTATATAGACATGTCTTTTGGAGCTTACTTAGGAGAGTGGTGAGAGGAGTGAAGAGTAGACTACAAGAACGCAGACAATGTGCAGAAGAGTACGGCCAGAATTTCGTGGCTGAATAAGAATTATTCAGTGAGAATCAAAGTGTGAGAGCCTTAGAGAGTTACCCAGAATTGTGTACTGTGGAACTGAGTAATTAAGAAA